GTAACTTTAGCTCACCTTTAGCTCGCTTTAATTTACTTAAGCTCCTATATAGCTCGCTTTAAGTTACTTTAGCTCCCCATTACATTGCTCAGGATAACTTTAGCTCCACTTTTGCTCGGTCAAAATGACCCCTTTTGATTTTTTACTGCCAATGGAGCAACGAATTATTTTTTTGAGCGATTCATCACTTTCCGACTTTTTATGTTTTACCGAAAGACGCTTGGACGCAAAATAGGAGGTCTCTGCGACAAGAACTTTCGAAGATATTACTACTTATACTTAGAAGGACCGAGGGGGTTATCATTCGAAAGAGAATTACCGCCTCTTTCGAATGATACCAATATTACGTTTTTGGTGAAAAAGCGACTTAAGCGGTTATCCGGAGCGCCAAGCTAGGCAAGCGGTTGTCCGCAGGTGGGCGTGAGCTGAGCGTTTTCTCAGAGCCACCGAGGCGGTGAGCGGTTTTAGATAGGGGGTATCGCTATCGCATTCCTCACAAAATTCCGCGTCAAACGAGCCTACATGTAATAGGGTTCAGATAAGCGGTCAGCAAATGAAAAGCAAGTCAAAAAGTAAAAAAATGACAGCAATCTATGCCATTTTTGAACAGAACCCCATCACATGTAGGCTCGTTTGACGCGGAATTTTGCGTAGATTACGAAAATAGGTTTTAGAATCCAATGTTGTTCCATGGGAAAGAAATATTTCGAAAAAACAGAAATTGTAATGCCTTTGGAGCTTTAACGCCTTTTAAAGGTAGGATATCCTACCTTTGTTTTACCAGTGTTACTTTGCATTGCAATTACAAAATGATGCTTCCCAATTACAAAGTGGCGCTTTGCAATTGCAAAGCAATGCTTTGTAGTTGCAAAGGATCACTTTTTCAGTGCAAAGTAAATGCTTCGTAGTGACAAAGGATCAAAATACTGCGCAGTTCTGCAAAAGCAATGCTCTGTAGGAATTTAACAGCAGTGTAGACGATTCCGCACAGGCTTTTCGTGCGCAGTAGGTGTGCGACCCTGCGGTGGGGGAGAGTGACACCCCCCTTAAGCGCTCTGCGGAATCAGTCTACAGATCGAGCGGTGCTTTTTTTTAGAAAGGCCGCCTATTCTATATAAGAGGCAATACGGCTTCCCCGGCTTGTCCCCGCTTTTCGCCCCCCGTAATGCAGGACCGAGGTTTGGACGGATAGAGGATAAGACGAACGGACAGCCGAGCGCACTAAAGTATCATCGTCTGGATCGTCTGAGATGATGCGCCCGGGGTTCGACTCCCGGCCAGCGCAAAATATTTTGAGCAGATGATACCTTGAATAGCTTATGACTAAACATAAAGAATATATAAGTAACTTTAAGGTGTCAGCTAGCTTGTACTCTCGATAAGGGCAGAGAGCCAAAGCGCATGACGTCACCAGATGTATAAGGGGCGCGAGAAGTCGCCGGCCGGCCCCGCACGTTCCCACCAGCAATACCCAACAATACTGAGCCACGGATGCCGCCCGGCCTGCCTGCTGCCCCCTATCTCTTCCTCTATGCCATGCCGCTAGTCCATTGAATTGCAAGAAAGCAATTGCTAAAAGTAAGAAACAGCCATAAACAAATAACAGCAAAATATGAGAGAAAAGTAGGGCACAGACATATCCTGAAATTTGTATCATCTGCTTTCACGATACGTCCCTCGACGTAGCTTTTTTTTCGTCGCTTCTTGTCTCCTGTAGGACGGAAATATTGGGTGGCAAAAGCTCGAAAAATGTGGGATGAACGTTATTCGAACTAGCGGCCGTCCACGCCCCGAGCGACGAAAAGCGGCAAAAAAAAAAAAATGCGCTGGCCGGGAGTCGAACCCCAGACAGTTTCAGACTGGTCACAATTGAGCAACCTCAGCTGCCACAGAAGTGAAGGAGATAAAATATATATCTGCCTTAGCCGGGAGTCGAATCTCGGGCGAACAGTTTGACACGAGCACGATTTAGCGCGCTCGGCCGCCCGCCCGTCTTCCTCACTGCGCGTTCAAAGTCGGTCCTGTATTACGGGAGACAAGGAGCGACGCCAGTCAGCGACAGCGTAGAATGATTCGTTCCCTGGAGCGCTCGTCCGTATCTCGCCTCTATGGCTCAGTCGGTAGCGCGCCCGTTCAAAGCGAGGGAGGTCGGTGGTTCGACTCTCCATGTGTCTGAAATTTTTCTCAGGCCACCAAATTTCAAATGGACTTCAAACCCGTCATTTCACCACGCCCCTCTCGTGGAGTTCCGATGGCGTAGTGGTTACCGTTGTTGGTGGCACTGCGTCATAGGTGGCTAAAGTGTCGGCTCTGGGCCGGGGTTCGCGCCCTGGTGCCTGCCACCTTGCTATGGTAGCGGGGTGGATAATGAGACCTAGAAACTGGCTGAAAAGGGCTCCATGACCTATGGTGGGTCAGTACGATTAACCGACGTACGCTTCAACCGTCTCACAAACCCCGGGAGTATGTTCTGACCACTGCGGTTGGGAGCGGCTGTTCGGAACAGTGACCACAGTTCGCTAACTACTGCGGCGGGATGAGGAAAGTACTCCCAAAACAAATTGGGTACCCGTCGTTCCGGTAGGCGACAACCCTGGTTAACAGTTGGTCGGATCTAACAGTCTGGCTGCTGGCGTGGACACGCCGGAGCTCATCCGAACTCCAAAGTTAAGCACGTGGGGCCCCGTGTAAAAGCGGGGTGGGTACTCCCTCTTTTTCACATTCTTCGAAAAATAGTTTGGTCCTAAACGGCGCCTCTATAGTCTGTTCTGATGGTCTGTTCGGAATTCGCTGGATGGTGCACGCCTCCACCGCTCCCCCTTCGCCCTCCGCGCCTGCACGCTAGTGCGTAGGCAACCCATCGAGCTGCCACGTATTCTTACGGACACACGGTATACACGACAATGCCTTATACCTTAACAGGGAGGGAGCCCCCACCCCGAGGGGTCCCCCACTCTTAAAAATGGTGTTCAACGAGTTGGCGTGTTACCGACTAGGCCGTGTGACGGTTCGCGTCACTTGTTTCACCGTTCCAGCACTGGCGCCTGGCGCATAGGCAACCCTTTGTACGTTTCTGCTTCGGATTGCCGATTGGATGGCGTGGCCTGTGCGTCAGGGTCGTCTACTGTTCACACTGTAAAACGAAGAGTGACCTTTCTCTCCCGAATAGAGCGACGTATAGGCGTCATCGCTCTGTTAGAGCGATTTTTGCGAAATGACTGAACATGTGTCTTCTTCGTAACAGAAAATGTCGCAGAAACGACCCTAAACGAGCGACGTTTGCGAAAATGACATAAAATTAGTCTTATTCGTAACCAAAAATGTCGCGAAAAGTTATTGCAAACGAGCGATGTAATTAATATCGCTCTCCCAAGAGTCGTCAAACTGGCTTCACTGATATCGCTCTCCTGGGAGCGAAAAAGGTCACTCCTTTACTTGTAGTGCACCCTTTTTCCCCTCCCCCTTCCCCTCCAGATCCCAGCTGGTCGGCCGGCCGGCGCCGGTGTGTCAGAGCTAGCATGACCACCGGCCCGGGCGTTCCGATCTAGCTCCACCCAACACCATGCTCCTCCCCGGCAAGCTTCCCGGCCCCTTGTGCCAGGTTGACTTTAGTTTTGTTCACTCGAGCCTTGTCTAACGTTTTGCCTTTTACACCCCAAAAAATGTGTTCTCAATTCAAGAATGATCCCCAAAATTTTAAGGCAAATGTTCTTATAAGCCCTATTTACACTTAAATTAAGTAAACGGGGATTAAATTAATCCCTATTTGCCTTAAAATTTTGGGTATAAGCTGACTCAGGCCCTGTCGGACGTTAGGTTTAGGGGGATCCCGGGCCCCATAATTGTGTTAGTTTAGATGCGTCCAGGCCCTTTCGGCTTGTCAGGGAGTATGTGCAGAACAGGTCCTTGCTTTCTGCTTACGCCCTGAAGGCTTCGGATTTCGACACTCATCTATTTTCCGCCATCAAAACACCCAATTTTAGCTAAAATAGTGAGCCGCAAGCAACTCATGCATGCACGCATGCGCACGGTTTACCTACTGTGATCCTTCTGATCTATTCTATCATTAAAGCGTATTCGTCCGGAGGTTGGGTAAGGTTAGGTTATTCGTCTTACTCACACAACAACACTGGGCCGCACCAGAACAGCATCCCTGACGGCTTCGTCTCCAACTGGCCTCTCACACGGGAACAGCCCCCTACTGAAGACTCAGTTCAAGAGAAGAATATTCCAGATTTGCCAGCTTTTCACATGAGTTGTGCCAAACGTACGCCATCAAATGTCGCAAACCGGAGGCCGGACACTCTGAGACCACCACACCTGTACACATAAAATGTATGATACGGCTAGCATGTTGCTCTCTCGCAGGAGAGTGTCACCGACCATACATTTTATCGCACAGGACAGATCACACTACACAGACCCGTAGGCAACGGCGCGCGGCGCGGTAGGCAGGCGACTGAGCGGCGCGGCGAGCGGCGAGCGGCAGTGCGCATTCGTCCAACCAAGGTCTGTGGTGCCTGAACGCAAACAACCTAAGGTGAAACAGAGGTCTCTGCACTCTCTCTATATGCATGATATATATTATATATATGATATAGAGGTCTCTATACTCTATACTCTATATCACCGCCCCTCCCCCCCCTTCCCCCTTTCCTCCTCTATCAATTTCTCATCAGCTTTTCAGTAGTCTCGTACCGACAGTTTACTGAGAAACTAAACAAATGACTACAGCGAAGTAAATAAATTTAATTTCCACAGAGAGCAGAGAGCTAGGTTATGTTTTTATTATACAGTCTTGAGTATGGATGACAACGATATCGATGATGTCATTTCAAATGGCGGCGAAGATGAAGGAGAACCTTGCGAATTTTTTTTTGAATCCGATCATCTAGCACTGAAAGGGAACAAGGACTACTTAGATCTAATGAAAACCTTAGCAATTCTTCAAGCCCAAAGAAGCCGTGCTCTACAGGTGACCAGTTATTTTTATTCCTTTGTCATAAACTTTGTCTAATAATTTACCATAGTTCAAAATCTTAATTTACCGTAATTCAAAATCAAATACTGCATTCATGTGTTTCATTTATCATTTGTTGTCATCACTGCAATGTATGTTACGTGTTTGGTTTTTCTTACTCTTTTGATTACTTTTACTTTTAGGACTTGGAGACCATTGAGAAAATAAAAAGGGAAGCATTGAACGATCCCGAAAGCTTTATTTCTATCTTACAAGTTGGTGGAGATCTAGGAGTTCCTAATCGGCAGGTCTTAGCTGAGGTATGTTATGGTTTGAGTTAAAATTATTTTCCTTTGGAAATTTATTTTCTATCACTGGTTTTATTGCTTACCATTGAAGGTACCAAATATAGAATGGAGCGAATATAATACTTCAGCACCAAGTAATTTACTTATACGACCAACCACTAGGAGAAATGTCACCAGTGGTCACCACAAGACGGATTCCAGAAAAGTCAAAGATGAAGACAAAAATGGAGAAGTAACAGTGCGGGGGCGTACTTTTAATCAGAATAAGCCAGAAACATTCAATCAGGTTATTAACCTACTAATTAAAGTACTCTGATTTAGGATGATTATTTTTCTAATTCCCTGCTACTTTCCAGCTATGGACGGCAGAAGAACAACGAAGGCTAGAAGAGTTACTGATTGAGTACCCACCTGAAGAAGTAGAATCCAGGAGATACCAAAAAATAGCTGAAGCTTTAGGCAACCGTACACGTATGCAAGTTTCAAGCAGAGTGCAGAAGTATTTCCTTAAATTAATGAAAGCAGGTTTGCCAGTGCCGGGTCGAGCCCCACGCCTTCCAACCGAAACTCAGAAAAAGGTATGAACATATGAACGTATTTTTTAATCTGCTTGAAGTGTAATGTGTATTAGGCAAATCCATAACACTATTTTTCCAAAAAAATTTCAGGGGTCGCACAGCAGGCAGCGTACAAATAATTTCCTTTCCCGACCTTCTACATTTTTCCCTCAGCATCAGGATTTGCCTGTTTACATGTCAGATTATGATGATGGAGCTGAGCTTCCTGATAATATAGAAGATTTGTTAATAGTTAAAACTGAAACAACGGAGTATACTCTTTCTGATGAACAGAGGAAACTCAATCTTTTAAAAAAAGTCAAAATAGAGAAAGAAAGTGGTAATATTCATAATGGTATTCATGCTGGCTTCAAGGTTAGTCCTTTGTTATGTGTCTATGTTGATGTGTTTGTATTTCGAGTGGCTTGTGTACATTCATTTTCCTATTTAAAATTTTCTGTAATTTCCTCTTTTTACCCTCAGTGTGATTTATGTGATGAAGAGCCTATAGTTGGAACCCGTTGGCACTGTTTTGACTGTCCTTCAAACACCTCTGTGGACTTCTGCTCCGACTGTGTTGTCAGTCAGCTAGATTCAACCACTCCTCACCCGCCAAACCATAGACTAGAAGCAATTGGCACCCATACAACTTCAACTAGCAATGAGTCATATGACCCCGACTACCTATCACAATCGTTTTCTCAGAGCTACAACTATCTAGACTCCAATTTTCTTCCCCACTGATGCTTTTCTTTAAAAGTTGCTTGAATTTCACTTAATGACCTCAGAAGCTGTGATACCATCATTTGCCATTAATTGATGGAAATGACGGAAATGTAGTACAAAATCTTCTGAATTCCTCTTGTATTTTATATTAAGGTGTATTGTATCACCTGTGATGTAGACAATATTCAGAGGTAACTAGAGAATAAACTTGACCTTCAAAATGCTGGTTCTAAAATATTGTAATCCATTCCACCTCCAACTTCAAATATAGATGAATGTACCTGTGGGACATTCCCCCTTTAAAAGTTTCATTACAAATTAGTTTTTAAGCACCAAGAATGTGGTGGAGTCAATTTATGGCCAGGTCAGTATAGTAGGTCCCCCTTTGATTTTCATTGTGGGGAGTGGAATAAAAAATTCAGTAACATTAGCAATAATACTTTACATTACTCTATATTTGAAATATATGTAAAAGAAATAGTAAAATATTGCGCAAGGGTGGGTGGACCATCTGGACATATCCCTTGATTTCTAACAAAATTAGATTGAGAGATTGAACCCTGTTCTTTTCCACGACTTTTTTTTGTGTTGGAAAAGTCTATTACTTTAATAGGAGAGTGAGCAGCAACATTGGGTCAAGAGAAATTTTTTCACAAAGGCCACTGATCCAAAAGTATCTAGTAAAGAATGATTCAACACACCGTATTTATTCCAATGTAAGCCTCACCTTAATGACCCATTCTAAAACCCAAAAGTCATGATGCAGCTTAGAATAGAATACCTGTTTAGAAGAGGTCTTATAGGAGTACTGTAAAACTTAACTATGCACTTAACAAGAAAAAATATTGAAAAGTGCACTTATTTTCATCTGCTTTAGAATGAACCTACCTACTCCTACTTGCAGCAACACTAGATATATAATGACTAGAAAACATCTGAACTCATGAGCAAGGACAAGTGAAAGAAAGACAGAGTGCAATGCTGAGAAAATGGATGGGTGGAATGGGAAAATAACAGAATAAAATTAAAAAGGCAAACTATATTAACCAAATTGCAGACACTATACCTTTCACTAACAGTTGATTAAATTTTCCTCCTAATGTTTGCACAAATACTACAGTCAACAGACAAAAAATATAAATTGTCAGCTGGCCTCCAATTCAAAACAAAACAAAACTGCCAATTCATAATTCATAACATAGGTATGCGTTGATCAGTAGGAGGTTTCTCCTCTTTTAACATGTTTTCTCTAGCAAATGTTAAATTTGCTCTAAATTCATTCAAGTCAAGAAAGTTAAAAGAAATTATCCACAAAATCTTTTGAATCATAGTGGTGGTGAATAAACTCTGTACAAAATTTAATTACATTACTCCCAGCCATGATGTTTACTGAAATGTGATATACACAACAGTACACTTCATACAAGATGAAGACATATAAAATTTAAATTCTCTCCTGAATAAAGGGATGCAGAAGGGCTTGATTGATGGCTGGTCTCTTGCTTGAGTCCAGCATGCATATCTTGTCCAGAAGATCTTTTAATTGTGAAACTTTTCTGGCTTGATCTTCAGGAAGATTTTGGTTTCCAACTAGCTCTGATTGTAAATCTCTACTTGGATGTAGAGTGGTTAGAACTACAACTTTTTCCTGAAGAGACAAACAATTGTTCTTATTCGTATGGTATTTTAAAAACATATGAACAAAACATACAAATATGTAGGCAGATAAGAATTTACTTACACGTTCAGTAACCTTATCCACTTCGTGGTACAAAAAGTTACAATTTCCATCAAAGTGCTGATCTCTGAATGCTCCCTTCCGAATGAGTTTATTTGGCATTTTCCCTTTAAGGTCCATGAAAAATTTGAGCATCTGCAGATTGAAATGTAAGAAATGAAAAACCAGCAAGAGTGGAATTAGAGTACAGTACCATGTGTCACGGCTAGAACGCAGCAGTGTTTCGGGTTTGCACACCCTGGGGCCGTAGGGGCCATGGCACCTTACAGGTGTCCTTGACCCCCTGGAAAAATGACATTTTGTAGTGCACTTATCTTCAAAACTACACAAGGTATTTTAAAACCTGAATTATGTCCTTGTAGTACATGCACCAATACTTCGTAATAACGATTTGTTTTGAGCACAAGAGTTCAATTTCTTCACTCCGAAGCTTGCTGAAATTAGCCCTCTACTTGACTTTCACGTGTGTTTTGGTGGTTTACCGCGGTTGTATATTTTGGAGACAGCTAATAATATCATGAACGGCTGCCAAATATTCAAAATTGTTTGCGACAAACACAATAGAAACTAATGAAGAATTGAAATAAAATAACAGTTTTGCTGCAACTCAAACGGATTTCTGGATGTAAGTGGATTAAGATACACGTGCACGAGGTGTCAAGGATGGGAACAGAGTGTCAGAGAGGAGTTGCTACCCCCTGCCACAGCAGACTAGCTGCACTACAGTATGTGGGTTTGCCTACTCGCTTCACCTGTAAGGCCCCATGGCCCCTAGGGCCAGGAGTTGTTGCTGACCGTTGGTCATGGCCTTGACACATGGAACATAATTGTAGAACATGTTGTTTTTTTATAATACTCACCTGGTTGTTTGTCTTCCCAGAAAACATGATCTTGCCAGTGTACAACTCATATATAGTACATCCAGCAGACCACATATCTATTCCAAAGTCATAGGGGATACCAAGAACTGTAATACAAAAGGAAAAAAAGGTGTAAAACAACTTAAGAACCAAGTTAAAAATTTGAAAGAGAAACCATTGAGAAGAATGAACAAGGTTTGTCGATTGATAGTAAAAATAGTGATAATAATAATAATGCATACTAATTTCAGGAGCTCGATAAAATCTGCTGACAAGGTAAGGTGTAATTTCATTGTCAGCAACATGGGAAGCTGAACCAAAATCACAGAGTTTCAAGACAAGTTTGCTTTCATTGACCTAGAAATAAAAATAAATAAATTACCAGTTATTGTAGCTGACACATGTGACCTAGGGAAGGAATGACAGACAGTACATAGCTTCAGCTCTTCTTAGTGAAATATGGAGCCTCAGTCCCCTGCATGGAGGTGATAGGCTTAAAGGCCGGTAACTGCTGCTCAACACCTCAAAAGCAAAGCATATATTAGAACTACTATTGAGTCTGCTTTGTCATCAAAGATGAAACTATGTATTTTCTCTTCAGGATGGGAAAAACTAAAAGAAATTCATAACATTTCAAAGTGGAACTCACAAGAATGTTGTCAGGCTTTATATCTGCATGGAGTATATTAGCTTTTTTCAATAACTTGAGAGCCAGAAATAATTGCTGACTGTACGATCGCACAGCTTTCACATGAAGACCGACATCTTTACCATATTTCTTGAGCACCTAACAAAAACAAGATTTCAATCAATTTACCAGGACTAATTTTTTTTTAATTTCAAGGATTATTTTAACAGCCCCATACCTCTCTTAAATTCATACTTAGTGGTTCAAAGACCATACATAAATGTTGTTTATGAAAGAAGTGCCTAAATAGGCGAAGACAGTGACAGCGGTCATCTGGATCAGCATCATTTAATCTCTTCAATACTTCTAACTCCTTCAGACCAGTCTTGTGCCTAAAATGAATTAATGTATTCATTAAAATTAGTTTTCTTTCACAGAGCAATATTCTACAATAGATAGAGTTAAAATAGTAATACATGATTTCATTGTTACGAATGATCTTGACAGCAACATCCTGATTGCCTCGTGCTCCATCTCTAGCTCTAACAACATTGGAAAATACACCTTGCCCAGTATAACCATAAACATTATAGCGCCCATCAAGGACTTCTCCAATTCGTACACGATAATAGCCTTCAGCATCATCCCAATTGTCAGTTAAACTTGGATTCTCAGGGACTCTTCCATGCTTTTCCAACGCACTTGGACTCTAAAATAAAATAAAAAATAATAAATAAAATAAAAAACAACAACAATTAGGGCACAAGAGTTTGAGCAAAAATAGAATGTAGCAGTAAGACAGAGAAAGACAAGTATAAGATAAATAGGTACTAACATTGACTGCTGCAAAATTATCAGCTTCTGCAAACATATCCCAGTCATTCTTTTTGCCCGTCTTTTTCTCCTCCTTGGTTTCCTTCGATGACGCCTGTTCCTCTGCTTCAGGCTGATCAAACCTTGACTTTTTCTTTGACTTTGGCTCACTTTCAGGTGAAGAAAGCTTCTTCTCAATTTTCTCATTGACTGTACTTTGACTATCACTTATAAGCTCCACAGATCCAGGTCGAGTCACAGGGCTGCCTGAATCTGAGGCATTGGGATTGGAGGCAGATAGATTTGAATCTTCACTAACAGCTCCTAACCTCTAAAAGTAAAATTAAAAAAAAAAATGAATGAAGAAATGTGACTGGAAACAGAAGTAAGAACACAGAAACCATCAAGATTACCTTAAGCAATTCTTCTCTCTGTTTCCTCCTGCGTTCAATTATTTGCTCTTCATCTTCTTCATCTTCATCAATGCTTATATCGGGTGCACTGTAATTCAGAAGTTATACTATTGAACAATTTTATTCTAGAACTATATTGACATAAAAAAGGGTGGGACTTAGACTTACTCCTCTTCTGATGAAGATTTGTCTTGCTTCAGGCCTTCAGATAAGCTTCCTTTAAATTTGTCATCTCGGTCTCTTCTGTCCTTGTTGTACCTGGCGCAAGATGAAACTTTGTTAATTTTGGTGGCACAAACAGAGATGACCAAACAGGATGCTGAACTTGCCTGCTACTTTGGTATCGTCCACGGCGGTCTCTTTCTCTGCTACGTGGTGACATGGCTCTCCAGGATCCTCTGTCTCTGTCCCGATCTCTATCCCTCTCAAGCCCTCCCTTATCCCGATCACGTTCACGCTCTCTTTCTCTATTTCTATCTCTATCAATCCTCCTATCCCTCTCTCTATCTCTTTCTCTCTCACGATCTCTTTCCCTCTCACGCTCTCTTTCGCGTTCACGTTCTCGATCGCGTTCACGATCTCGTTCACGATCACGTTCACGATCTCTTTCCTTCTCCCTATCCCTTTCTCTCTCCTTCTCCTTCTCCTTCTCCTTCTCCTTCTCACGATCAGAATGCAAACGGTGACGTCCACCTAAAAAGTTCATAACATATCTAATCATGATATATTTTCGGACACACTAAAAACAAAACACTGAAAATTTGAGAACTTACCAACAGGCGATCGGCTGCGACTAACTCTTCGCTTGTCATCTCTTTTACGGGTGTCATCATCTTTTCTACGAGAATCTTCTGGTCTCCTACTGAGGGTATCACCTCGCAATGACTCCACTTTTCTACAACATCCAAAGAATAAGAAAACAAAGCAAGAAAACAAATTGAGGATAGAAATGGAAAACAAATACAAACCTATTCTTATCTTCAGGTTTGGAATCTTTACGTTTAGGAACATCTCCATCCCGCAGGCGCTTGGTTTGCTCCTTCTGATCAGACAGAACTTTACGCTTTTCTTCTGGAGCAGTCGCACTGCCAATCTTGGCCTTCTTTTCTAAGGCACCACCACTACAAGGCAACTAAAATTACAAGCCAGAATAGAGCAAAGACAAAGCAGTTTAAAAGGAAAGCACTTACCTGCTAAGCTTGCGTTTTCGTCTGTCAGTCCGCTGATTTTCATCTTTGTCAGAGTCGTCATCAACCAGATTGATCACTTCCGGATCTTCTTTCACCCTTTCTTCGGACAAGCACTCACCAAGACGAGCTTGCAACAGCTCCTTTAAAAGAAAATTAGACGCAAAAGTTAAGACAGTGCATTAAATGTGCAAGAGCCATGATCCATCCTAAGAATAAGAATATAAATCAAATATTTGTGAAATACTCTCACCTTCTGCCTCATCAATTCGTCCAGGTCAAGATCAACATCATCTTCAATAACAACTTCTAGGTCAGAATCAATATCTTTGTCTAATTTCACACTGGTTGTGCTAGAGGGAGTGTCAACATCAACAGTCACTGTTGCACTACCATTTGTGAGCAGCTTCTGATCTTTAACCGGTTTCTTGTCTTCCCCATTCTCACTTTTCCGACGCTTATGTTTCTTGTGTTTCCTAGAAACAATTTCAGAAAATAGTGAATAACTCCTATTTGGCAGGAAACTATGAATTAGATATCAGTAGTAGAGAACAATACTTTTCATGTTTTGATGAATGCTTTTTATGTTTGTGATGTTTGTGTTTCTTCTTTTTCTTTCGACTGTCTGCCTCTGAGGATTTGGAAGTGTCCCCTGCCTTATCTTCCACAACCTCAGGTGAATCGGATTCCACAGAGGCATCAGAGTCATCAGAAGATCTGGAAGATGAAATATAAACACTAGTTATATTCAGGTTAGGCAAGACTTGGACAGTGCACATAGATAGACGAACAAATTATCTAGAATGATTACAGATTCCATTCAAGACAGATAAAATATATGAGGACATATTAATAATTGTTATTTAAAAAATTTCAACTGTGCCTAAAGGCCACTTAGCGTAAGAGGGAGCATTAAATAGGATTAACAAATAAAAATGCAAGATCTTTTATCTTTATTTTATCGTCTATTGACGACGAAGCCGGGCTCAAATTTGAGGTTAATTACCACCAAAGTCTAACTTAAAATGCTTGCTGATAGTGGGTATGAGGGTTTATGACGATGTCAAAATCATTTGTAATTTATATACAGTCATAGTCACAAAAATAAAAAAAAAGTTTCAAAGGCAAAATGTAACTGGATTCGGAATCGTGCTTCCTACGAACCCCAGTGAGGTTCCACAAACTAAGCATAGCAAAGTAACTTACAATTCATAAACTGATATAATATGGACAGATTATACAATATATAACTTATATTACTTACCCCATAGCTGCTGACTTGTGAGGGGTAAATGAACTGAGGGATCAAAACATGAGAGACGGCAATCGGCATCGGCAGATTATCACAACGCCATTTTGACTTCGCCACATTCCGTCTCGGTCCCTTCGGCGTAATCCTCTTTACTGGTTTATGGATGCCCCCCAACCCACCCCAACGGGAGGAAAGGGGGGAGGAGGGAGGCAAGAGGAAAGAAAGAGTTGTTGCTGTTGTTGTTGCTGTTGTTGAGCGTGGCCGAAGACTTCATCAAAACATTGATCTGCCAGATGCCCTGGTAGTTCCCTGAGCGGAACAACTTGCAGCTTTACGGTGATATTTTAAAATTAAACAACGGCGACTCGCTTAGGTTTTCTGTCGTTCCGACGTTTCCTTTATCCCGTCGGAACCATGGCTGCTAAACCAGTTAAAGGTACAGTATTTTTTTGCATTCTATGTTTCAAATTTCTCAGTAGAAAGACAACTTTTCAGTGTCCTCATTATGTTTAGTAATTATTGGTTTCTATCATTTTGATTTTATTTGGAGTTGTCAGTGAAATTTTTTGTGTGGTGTCATGTAGATGGGGTGTCATAACCTACCATTTCATCTTATTATAATAACTCAAAATTGTACGCCAGGTTGTGAAAGTTCAAGCGATGATGAAGCTGTCAGTGTACCTGTCAGCAGTAACGCTGCAGGATCTTCAACTGCAGACAAGGACAAGACAGCCATTGAAATGATAACACGTTACATGGCAGAGAAGCTGGGGTTTATTGACACAGAAGAAAAATCTCATGAAAAGGTCCCTTGGTGCTATCTTGTAAAAAGAGGAGAGTGGTCTAATTGTTGTCATGATAGATTTCTAATATTTGAATTTTGATCCAGGTTCTTGATGAGCTTACACTGGATGGAGTTGTTAAGCATATTAAAGATGGTAAAATTAAAAACATTATAACAATGGCAGGAGCAGGAATCTCAACTTGTAAGTTGAATAAATTTGTAGTTTTTTTTTTGTGTTTTTTTACGAACTGTTTTGTTTAACATAACTAATGAAGTTTTTGAATTTTAGCTGCTGGGATTCCAGATTTCCGCTCCCCTGAGTCTGGTCTCTACCATAATTTGGAAAAATACAATCTTCCTCACCCCCAAGCAGTTTTTGAAATTGATTTCTTTGATGAAAATCCTAAACCATTTTTTCTTCTTGCAAAAGAACTTTATCCAGGATCTTTTAAACCAACTCCTTGTCACTATTTTATTCGCTTGTTACATGAGAAAGGCATGTTACTTCGACATTATACCCAGGTAAAACATATTAAAAAGACAGTTTGTCCACCTAAAATATTTTCTCTAATTTTTATGAAGCTCAATTTTCTCTTTAGAACATTGATACACTGGAACGTGTTGCTGGTATTCCAGGAGAATCTTTGATTGAAGCTCATGGGACTTTTTACACAGCCCATTGTCGAGAATGCAAGGCAGAATACAAGCTTGAATGGGTGAAAGGTAAGGAATTGTTTATTTGTAGCTTATATCATACCATAACTGTAATAGTCTTATTTTAGCATTGATTAAAACAGCAATCCTATTTTCACAGAACATATTTTTTCTGACAAGATACCAATATGTGAGAAATGTCCTGGTGTTGTGAAGCCTGACATTGTGTTTTTTGGGGAAAACTTACCAGACCGATTTTATTCTTCTGTTGGAGAAGACTTTTCCCAAGCTGACTTACTCATTGTTATGGGATCATCATTGGTTGTTCAACCGTTTGCTTCTTTAGTAGACAAGTCAGTACATTTAAAAAAAAATTAACATGTGCAGTTTATTTTTGATATTTATTTTTAGAAATGAGACTGAGGATGAAGTGCTCTATTTCGTAAATTTTACAGAGTGCGGGACAACTGCCCTCGGCTTCTCATCAACCGGGAGAAGGCAGGGGAAGGTGACAAGTTGATGGCTCTGCTTGGAATGGGAGGTGGAATGGACTTCAGTGAGAAAAGCACAAGAGATGTGGCGTGGATTGGAGATTGTGATGATGGATGCCAACTGATGGCCGACAAACTGGGATGGGGTGTAAGTATTCTTCTCAGCTGTGTTATCCTTTCAAGCACAAGATTTTTCCCAATTTCAATATTATATCTTTCCATTTTTATTCAGGATGAGTTAAAGGAATTAATAAAAAAAGAGCATTCAAGGATTGACAGTGAGAAGAAACCTACCTTACACAAAAAAAATGAAGAAAATTAATCCTGATTAAAATAATTGAGCTGAGTGAATAGGCTTTATCAAATTTAATGTTCATGGAATTGTTTGTTCAATTAATTCTGCGAGCCTTGGTTTCTGTGAAACAATTTTCCTAACCGATCTTAATCAATAGAATAGAGAAATAGTGACAGCAGTGACAGTTTGAGAAGTTGTACTATTGAATTGTATCTGTGATTACACTGGTGATTTAGTTCTACTATTTATTCATTCAATTAAAACACTGGATTGATTAAAACTCTTTAATTAAATGGCAATTCAATTTTATTCTATTTCATTGACAATATAGTGATGATACCATTATATTTTTATTATCTAGTAACTTCGCCCAAATAATGTGTACTGTTTGGGTTTTGCTTTGCAATCAGGATGAATGCAGCGATCACTATTTGTGATCTGAGTTGGTTGTTGGAATGGAATACACAAGCTCTTTGCGCCCATTGATGGACCTGAAGCGTCTTCTGTTTCATCCCTGAAATGATTCATTCATCAGAAATTGGAACTTACATGAATGCAGAAACAAAGTCCCACAACTTTGATCAATACTCACTTAACACTGTCCTTTTTGATCTTATCTTCACATGGGATTTCACCACAGAAAGGTGCTAAAATGATGTTCTTCTTGTCCACACCATCACAAAATTCTTCCCACTTCTTACAAATAGTGGTGTGGTTCTTCATTTCTGCTGATGCTCTAAGAAGTAAGAATTAACAGATGATAAATGATTAAAATAAAAAATAATAAAACAGGTTGACTATACTATCACCAAAGGACACATCACCTCTGCTTCACAACTTACTTTTCAAACAGTGCCTTTTGAACAGTATCAAGAAGAGCAGCAATATCTTCAGCAGCCTTAGAACGAGAAATTGTAATCTTCTCTCCATTGTCACGCCTTACAGCAACTAACTGCTGATTTTTCAAGTCCTTGGGACCAAGTTCCACTCTAATGGGGACTCCCTTTAAGAACATAAATTCAGGTTAGGAGGAAGTAAATGAAAAAGCACTAATGAAATACATTGAGTACATGGTTTAAATGGATGGGTAGAAAGCAGACGTTTCTGAACAGGATTAAAAAAGCTACAGTTTGCGATTCTACAGCATACTTCAATGTACCTTCAACTCCCAGTGATTAAATTTCCATCCAGGCGAGTAGTTGTCTCGATAGTCCCCTTCAACACGAATATTCTTCTGCTGAAGGCTTTCCTCTAACTCTTTACATGAAGTGAACAAAGCATTCTTCTCTTCTTCTTTCATGGAAACTGTTACTCCACAAGGTACAATCACAACCTGTTTTGGAGCAACGCGAGGAGGAAGGACAAGTCCTTGGTTGTCCGCATGCACCATGATCATAACACCTGAGAACATCATAAATATGAGAAAGTAATAAAAGATTACTTTAAATGTCTAAAGAGATAAGGTAAAATAAAATATCATGACGTACCAATAGTTCTAGTGGTAAAACCCCAGGAGTTTTGGAAAGCATATTTTTTCTCTTGAGTTTCAGGATCTTCAAACACAATTTCAAACATTTTTGAAAAGTTTTGACCAAGGTGATGGGAGGTAGCGCCCTTTAACAGAGATTAAAATTGTAGATAAGGATTTCGCAAGACAAAAAGAGTTCGCTACGTACAATATTACTGTACTAATAAGTCTCAAGCATACCTGAATTGCTCGACCACTTGCAGCAACAAATGCTTCGACAGTTGTAGTAAAATATCCACCAGCAAACTTCTCTTTCTCTGTTTTACGACCCTTAACTACTGGAATTGCTAGCAGTTCCTCATATATCCTAGCATAAAGATCTGGAAGAGCAAAGTTGAAAAGAGTGTAGATAACATTAAGTTTTCTTATCTACTTAAAAGTGTATGTATGTACTTAAGTGCTACACATACCTAAGATAGTGTATACTTCCTCTTCGGCATCCTTTTGATTAGCAAAAGCAGTGTGACCTTCTTGCCACAAAAACTCACGAGTTCTTAGGAAGGGCTGAGGATGTTTGAACTCCCATCTCTAGTTTTATAACCATGAAATATGTGTGATATTAGATTAAAACACAGTTCAATGATGATATCTGATGCAATTTTCAGGTATTATTAGAAAACTTACAACAACATTGTTCCACTGGTTGAGTTTGATTGGCAGGTCTCTGTAAGATTGCACCCACTTGGCAAATGCAGGATACATCACAGTTTCACTGGTGGGTCGAATTGCTATGGGTTCAGCCATGTCTGAATCTCCTGACTTTGTGACCCATGCAACCTGAAGCAAAAATATATGTTTGTAATAAATCATATAAAAATGGCGAAATATATTTTCTTCGACCCAATGATATGTTCTTACCTCAGGTGAAAAATCAGCTATGTGGCTCTTCTCCTTTTCAAGAGCTGCACGAGACACAAAGATAGGGAAATAGCAATTTTCTACTCCTAATTTCTTGATTTCAGAGTCAAACCAAGAACTGAGCTGTTCCCAAATTGAGTATGACCATGGGCGGAGAATGTAGCAGCCACTAACATCATAATATTCAATCATTTCTCCTTTCTGAATCACTTGAGAGTACCAATCAGGTAAGTTTTCCTCTTTCCGTGCTTCCATACCCAAACGAGTTTGTTTCTTGGTAGCTTGACCATCCTATATTCAAATCCTCAATTATAGCATTGCACAGTAAACATGTCAACACAAAAGGTGAGTTTGCACATACCTCTACCACTTTTTCTTTGGGTTGCTGTTTTGGCTTAGACTTTTCTTTAGGTTGAGAGGGGGCCTTGGCAGCTTTTGGATTGCGTCCCGCGGCAGGGAATTCATTCCCAGTTAAAGTCTTGTACTCTGCTTTGAGCCCAAGAAGAACCTGGACTGCAGCATCAATCTCATCCTTTAACAGAAGAAAATAAAATCATCATAATACACTCGTAATAAAATACAATCATAATACACAATTCATACAAGCTTTCACTTACTTTGCCTGCTCCTGCAGATTTCAACTGACGAACTTTTTCGCCTTGTTCATTCACTTTAGTGACTAATGAGTCAACTTTATTGTCTGCCATTGCAGTTGGAGGTGCTGTGGTTACAACCCCTGGTTTCCACTCTGAACCTGTCAAATTCTTATAGTTGGCTTTAAGTGAAAGTAGAGCTTTCACTGCAGTATCAATCACGTCTTTACTTGCTTTCTCAGCTTTTAATTGGCGCACTTTGTCACCCTGCTTAATAATAGATGAATTAAGCTCTGCAGAGCTATTACCAATGGTTTCTGGTGCTGGAGAGGCAGTAGAAGCAGATGGTTTCAAATCAGGTTTCCAGTCTTCCCCAGTAAGTGACTTGAACTCTGATTTCAATGCCAGTAATGTTTTCACCTCTTGGTCAATTGAACTTTTTTCAGCCTTACTAGTTTTCAGAGAACGAACTTTGTCACCTTGCTGAGCAATTTTCTCCAATAACTCATTCCGCTTTGAGGAGTTGTTTGATGATACTGGGGATGCTGGAGGAGGAGATACTGGAGAAGGTGATGCTGGCTGAGTAGTTGATACTGTTACAACTTGACCTGGCTTCCAGTCTTGCCCACAGGCAGACTTGTACTTTGCTTTCAAGTCCAATAATACTTGAACTGCAGCATCTATGTCTTTCTTTGGGGCTTTGTCAGCTTTAAGCTTGCGAACTTTGTCTCCCTGATCAGTTATGAGGGCAGAGAGGTCACCAGCTGCTGAAAGAGGGGCAGGAACTGGAGTTGCAGGTCCTGGAGATGATGGCTGCGCACCAGGCTTCCAATCTTTACCAGTAACTTTTTTGTACTCTCCCTTCAGGTCTAGCAAGACCTTCACTGCAGCATCAACCTGGTCTTTGGGAGCCTTATCTGTTTTAATCTTGCGAACTTTGTCGCCCTGTTCAGCAATTTTGGTCAAGAGTGATGCCTCATCATTTAAAGATTGTTTCACAATTGGAGCTGTTGGAACAGCAACATTAGGTTTCCAATCAATACCACACGCAGATTTAAATTCAGCTTTTAAATCCAATAAAGTTTTGACTGCTACATCAACTGTGGGCTACAAGATAAAAATTAAAAATTAAATTAGAAAGTACAAATTAATTTGGGGAACACTTGTGATGTGATGAGTTTATGGACTTCCTTTACCTTGTCAGCTTTGTCAGCCTTCAGTTTGCGTACAACATCACCTTGTTGAACAATAAGGGCATTAATTGCTGATGCATCTCGGACTCCAATAGGCTTAGATGGGACCTCAGTGACTGGAGACTTCTCGGCAACTTTTCCCTTAGCTGATTGTGTTTTCTGAAACCCAGTTAGAGTTTAAAGAAAAGCCATCATTATGCCGTGCTACTAATGCAAATCCTTCACTGTGCACAACTGTCTATACACACTACAGTTATATATTCTGAACTTGAACATCATGTTATCTTCTTTCATAAAATGTTTTACATTCTATTCTTCCAAAATAAAGTCAATGTAATTCATTCTGCCACAAGATATCTCAAGTTCCATATTGATTCTTAACTAATGTAAACACCTTTCATGATGAGTAAATACGTAAGGCACATAAACAGGTGCCAGCTGTCGACAAACTAGCCGACTAGCATCGGTGAGAGTGAGAGTAGACACGGTGGCAGTCATAAAATGTCCACTTCCCGCGGTCACCGAAGAGCCGAGGACTTCAACGCACTTTCACTTTCCCTCCCAACTTTTGCCCCGCCGAAAAGCCGATTCGTCCCGATGACACGTCACGGCCTCATTCGGGTGCCATTCGGGTCGATCCGAAATGTACCCGAAGGTATCCGAGGTATGCCGAAGTAACCGAAACCGACCAATGAGACGAACGAGCAAAGAGGCGGCAAAATTTGAATACAGTGACGGCTGGCTGGTGCTGACTGGTGTGTTGTACCGTATACACCAAGAACAAAATTTCTGCAGATAGTGAACTTCAATTGCTTAATAGATACTGAATAGATAACTACTAACCAGAATCAGAAAAAAAACACTGAAGGATGCATGAAAGTTATCAAAAATAACTTTTTAGTGAAAAATGAATTTTAATGTCTAGAATAGTCCCTAATATAGGGCCCCAAAATGTTTTAACTCTTCTAGTGATTATTAATCCAGGCTTATGTAGCTACCTTTTGCTTCTAGAGATTAATTTAGAAACTGTATCAATGACTATTTGCCCACTATGTACACAGTAGTTCTTACTATGATATTTAGGGTGAATAAAAGATTTCTATTCTATTGTATTTTCTATTCTAATTTTCAAATTTAACTGGATGTGGACAAATTGTGCTTACCTCTTTCGCACTCATAGCTTGTTCCTGTTTCTTTGGCACCCCAGCAGTGGGCAGTTCTTTTTGGTGACCATCAGGTATAGCAATAAGGACAATGGGTGATTCTTTGCCAATGTGTGGACTGCAAAATAACGGTATATTAGATGCAATTAGTTTATATGACCCGATAGATGACGAGAGAAGAGTGATACCTTAGCGGCTCATAAGCACTGTCGACACGGAAGAATCCTCTGCGCTGCAACTGAATTATGTCTCCCACTTTGAGAGCTGCTAGTTCGGGATCACCAGTCATGGCAACTTCAGTCTAGGAAAGAGGAATAAAAACACTTAATATAATCCATAATTCCCAAGTTGTTTGTACCAGATTCATCATCATTTTGCTTGTTTTACCCTAGTATTTTTAGGAATATATGTTTTGAAGTCTTCATCTTTGGCAAGCACAGCTTTACTGATAATGTGATCATAGTAAACACAATATGTAGGGGTAAATTTGCCTTTAGGAGTCTCGGCAAGCCATGTGATCTTCAATGTTTTTTTGAAATCCTTATTTTCAAGGTTTGCCTCTACTTCTACAGATTCAATTTTCCCTCCAACCCTAACAAGTTTTTAAAAAATAAAAAAATTAATGAAGAGGTAAGAACAAGATTAGGAAAGAATTTCAGCACTTTGTTGAACAGGCGTCTCTTACCTATTGATCTTTTTGATCAACATGTTGCCCCAGTTAATAAACGTTGTGTTTTCTCCCTCTTTCAGAACTTCTGCATCAGCATAGTCAATTAGCACTCTAGGTCCTACCCAAACCTTCTTGACACCAATATCAGAGTTCTTAGGATGCTTTGGTACATCTATGCACTCTTCTTTTACTCCTTTCACCAAAACAGGAACTGTGGACCCCGCTTCTAGTGCAGTAAATCGAGGAGCAATAGGGTCAATAACCTATGGACAAGCAAATAATGTGTATTAAAGAAACAAAAATTAAATCCAACAGTTAGAGATTAAAAAAAATAATTGACAAGTACCTTCTTGTTGAATGCCCATATTTTGTCCCATTCCATAACAACAACAGACCTTGAAGAGCCTTGGGCTATGATAAACTGTTTCAAACCTTCAACAGTCATACCTCTTCGAAGAACACCTCTCACTGTTGGGAACCTTGGGTCATCCCTACAGTTGTAGATAGCCAAAAAGTAATTGAATGATTCTTTACAAATTGATACAAAACTCATTTATCAATAAAACCTTAAAATGTACTGACCATCCATCAACAAGACCTTCTTCCACAAACCATGTTAATTTTCTTTTGGACAGTACAGTGTTGGTCATATTAAGACGGCTGTATTCCCAAATTACAGGTTTCCGGAGTCCCAAAGCATCAATGAACCAGTAGAACTGATCATCACGATCATGGTACTCCATTGTTCTCAAACAATGGGTGACACCTTCAATGCTATCCACAATAGGACAGGCAAAGTCATACGTTGGATAGACTCTGTGAAAATAATAAATGATACACCATCATTAATAATAGTGAAGTTTTAAGTTGAAATCTTAAAAGTATTGAATGAAACACTCACTTATACTTAGATCCAGTTCGAGGGTGGGGTTCAGGCTTGCAACGATAGATTGTTGGGTCACGCATACAACCATTATGAGAATTCATGTCTATCTTAGCTCGTACACAGCACTTGGTACCTAAAGCAGTACCTTGCTTCATTTCATTCCACATAGCGAAATTCTTTTCCAATGCTTCAGAAAACCAGAAAATTATGTTAGCTTATCAGAGAACAATTTTAAATTCGACAGTACATATAGCTTTCAAGTACATACAATTAGTTCTGTTCTTTGATTCTGTTCTTTGCTCGCGCTCTGCTTTCATTTGTTCTGGCTCTGTGTCATCCACATAAGCTTTCCCTTCTTTCATCAATTTTTCACACATATCAAGCATTAAGTCAAAGTAGCTTGAGGTGTGGGTAAATTCATCAGGAATTATTTCAAGCATTTCAAGGTCTTCAAGAATCACCTGCAATAAACATAAGAATGATTAAGGTGTGCTTCATCTAAGAAACATGTAAATTTCAGATGAATGAAACCATATATTTTACCTTTTCAAAATCAACTTTTTCCTTAGCTGGATTAGTGTCATCAAATCTCATGATGAGTTTGCCCTTGAAAGCCTGTTGATAGTACTGATTTAAAAGCGCTGCTTTAGCATGGCCAATATGAAGATATCTAAACAGTAAATCAAATCAGATTAGACCAGTGTATCAGATCATTACACCAAACTCTAAGAGAAATTATTCTTACCCACTAGCTTCTGGGGGAAAACGGACAACAACTTTACCCATCTCTGCTCCAGGTAGATCAATGAATTTCCCTTCCTCCTTCCGTCCTGTTTCTTCGGCAGCCTGATTTTGAGGCTTCGAGGCAGATTTCACCTCTTCAGGCAGAGAAGAAATAACACTCTGAACTGCAGGCAAAGATCTAATAAATTCAAACCACCTCTTAACATTTAAGTATGCCTTCGAGCTCAGAACAGCTGAAACATCAGCACTGCCTGTAAGAATTAAGAAAGAGATGCATCAGTTTTAAACGATAAATAAATTTCGGAGAAATAAGAATAAAATCCTCACTGTAAAGTGACCCCCAAACAGCAAAATCAGCTGCTGTCAGCTTATCACCAACAAGATATGTGATAGGTCCCAAGACACGGTCAAGGTAGGCAATGGCATCTTTCGAGTCATTTTTGCAAACCAAGGGACCTGTGCTGAAGGAAAGCCAGTGATCCACCTGCCAAGAGAAGCACAATATTAAATAGCAAATAAATATTTCAATTAATGACAAGCTTCAAAGAAATATTATCTCTAACCTCAGCTTGATCCAGTATATTACTGCCATAAAGACAGAGCTTAGGAGAACTGCGAGCAAGGAAGCGGCAAATGGTCGACACTGAAGAAAGTGAATCGGAGCCAACTTTCAGAGAAGTTTCTTTACTCCAATCGACCTTTATTTTCTGGGAATCCTTCACAAACTCAACCAGCACTAAGGCACCTGCAATATAAGGAGATTAAAAAAAATTATTAAATTTAAAAATGAAGCAACCAATAAGGTAGAGAAGGATGTCTGATAAAAATATGCATCTCTAGATTTTAGGGGTTAGAAATGAATCTTACCTATCGGTGCATCCGACAAATTGGCAGTTAAGACACAAGCCATGATCTGCCAGGACCTTTACGGCAGGGATTTGAAATAATCAGGCCAGTTGCGACCTGAGTTAAGAGTTCAGAGTATCAAGTACCACTGCACGAAGGAAGAAAAGCAGACGATATGGAGAAACTGATGCAACTTCTCGCTGTGATTTGCGAGGTTAGGGTTGGAGGAGGGAGCGGGGAGCGGCGGAAGTTCAAACATGAGTGAGGGATATGCCACTCAGCATGCGATGTGAATTTAAGTCCGTTTATAGAAAGTGGAGCAAATACTGGGAAAGATATTGCCATGAAACATTGTTCATACGAAAATAAAGAAACATTAACATACTTTTGCTGGAAAATGTTTATAATAACTCAACATTGCTAAACGAAAAGCGAAAAGCGTGGGGAAGTCTCGTGTCTTCTGCTTTCACTCTTGCACTTGCACAATACTTCCCATTCACCATTACTATAAAGGCAGCATTTAACAAGCTGGAGGGGTGTCAATCATAATATTACATCTTGGTTTTCGATGGAACAGTTGTATCAAATTGACATACTATAGATTTTGTGAGACACTTGAAAACAAAACTAAAAATTGAATTCTCCCGCATTTTTCACTGTCAAACCTCAAAGAACCGAAGGAAGACGAGAACTAGAAGGCATACAAATAAAACTTCAAGTAAATTGTTCTTAGTGTCGCATGAAAATGAAAGATTTTAAAGTAAAATAAGAAGAGGGTCCCAAAAAACACAAAATTGATGTTAGAAGGAAACATAAACTTATAAACACCGGAAAATATCAGAAAACGTTTATACTCTCCCTCTAAGGCGGTGTGTCACGTGATCGTCAGATGACCGTGACGTCAGTGACTTCCGGCCATTGCGCCCTCTTCAGCCCGTCAGATTTTGCTGAGCTACTGTACTGTGCACGCATTTTCATCGGTGCTCATCCTCTGTCCCCATTGCGCGGAACAGGGTATTTTAACAACCGATCAAACTTATTTGTCGTATGTCCATCCAGAATTTAAACACATTCGGTGAGTTCCACAAACTTTTGTATTTCGGTATTTATTTATCCTTGTCAGCTCTTGCACAACCAAGATGGCGGTATGTTTTCGTTTTTTCTATGACCTCGATTTTATTTGGACACTCCCGATTTTTCCTCACGGTTTCATATCCTTTTCAGTTTCCTTGTTACCTTCATTACACTTATTTTCATCAGCCGAACGTTCCATACACTCCACCTAGTTTACCTGAACGATTTTCTGTTCGTTTGTTTTTTGCGTACTCCAGTCCGTAAATAGCCGATCCCTGACTGACAGTGCTCATTCCAAAATTACGATAGATATAAGGCCTGTAGCTTCATTTTCGGGAGCCCCTGGTTATTTAGTTACTGCGATTTTGTACTGTTCTGTTAAAGATTATTCATTCCAGTACTTTGCCTTGACCCAGATTTCCTAATTGTGATGTTTAGTTATTTACCTTTAACAAATTGTTGGGTATTGATTGAGGGCTCTGTGAAGCTTGTCAGTGTTCATGGAGATGGCTAGTTGTCAAACTGTTCATTTCAATCAGTACATTTACTTGACAGTATTTAGTCATCTTATTTGATCTAATTTCTGTTTTACCCATCGACTTGTGTTATATCTAATTATTTTATTTTTTGTTTCAGACCCCTTTGCAGATGCAATCAAGGGTGCAGATGATGATGTCCAAGACGGTCTCGTGCATATAAGAATCCAACAACGCAATGGTCGTAAGACTCTAACTACAGTGCAAGGACTTTCTTCAGAGTATGACCTGAAGAAAATTGTCCGAGCATGTAAAAAGGTGCGTAAAGATTAAGACTGTAATTACTTCATACAATTATTTGAACTATCATAAATTTTTCTTATTTTTTTTTAGGAGTTTGCCTGCAATGGAACTGTAATAGAACACCCAGAGTACGGTGAGGTGCTTCAACTACAGGGCGACCAGCGAGAAAACATCTGCCAGTGGCTCACCAAGTCTGGTCTGGCTAAGCCAGATCAGCTAAAGGTGCACGGCTTCTAGGCATGTTCTCACAACAAATAATTGTTTCTTTTCTGTTTTGAATTTTCGATTTTACTCTTCCACAATCATAAAATGACAGGAATTGCAAGCTAGCATGTACCTTGGCACTATTGATGACTTCAGAGAAATGTAGCCAGCCAAAGGCTAAAACAAAATCACAAGTTGAGTTTCTGTTAAGTAGATCGAATTCCAAAATGTCCAAGTTTGTACTGTACAGTTACTATTTTTATATAGGATTCCTTGCTCTTGAGAGTACTGCCTCTTCTACCTTGGGCTAATTGTTCTACAATTGTACTGTTTTTATCATGACGTTGCACATGTACTATTGTTGCTTGAAATGTCATCTTCATATACTTCAAGAGTAAAGATATGCCTGTAAACCTAGCTGCATAGCTTGTATGTGTTTTTAGTTTGGATTCATATGACTTCATTTGTTGATAAGAAACTTTTCTAAATTTTTTCCCCTCCATGCAGGTTTCACTCAATAAATGCTTTTTAAAATAATTTATACATCCTGGGGTATTGTATTATGAAGAACCCTTCGTCCTCAGAACTAACATCACAGTTTTTACCTACCTGCTGCCTATACTTACATGGTTCTTAAGCAGTTTGAATATGTGTTTCATCTGCACCTTCATATCACATAGTTCAATAGTTAGGTGGTGGCCCAAAGGAAGATGTACGCATCTCCACTTCAGCCTGACCGGTCACGGGTCTATCGGGAAAATTGGGTATTTCCTTAATCTTTTTTTCTAAACTACCAAACAGGCCCCACAGGTTTTCTCTTTGGGGG